CAAAAGTGGGGGGGGGGAGAGAAAAACTCTGGTGGGCTTCCTGAATCTGTTATTATACCCTACAACAATAGAGTTCCATTGGAGTCTGTTTCTTGACCTGGCCTACCTTGGAGGGCTGACACCTTGCCAGCTGGAGGGGGGCTGAAAAGAAAAGGCACTGGATCTGCTGGGCTTTGTGCAGGCTGTCAAACCTTGTGGCTGGAAGCACATTCCCCCCCAGCTTTGCTCCTGGGCCTCGACCCCTGAGACCCAACTCCTCTGATATCACATACTTGACAAAGCAGTTTTCAGAGATCAGCCCATGAGGCTCCGGCCTTTCCCTTCCCACCAAAGACTACAACGCCTCTCTGGCTGGGGGATGATGAGTGCTGCAGTCTAGCAAATCTGGAAGGCCTCAACCTCCTCTGGCCGGCTGTGGCCCTCCAATTCCTCAGGCACAGCCGGGTTTTAATCCAGCTGCACCACTGACAAACACTTTGCATTTTGAGGTGTGCTGGATGTGACCCTTGTGGGGGGGGACTGCCTGAGCCCCTCCGAGAACAGCTGCCGAATGAGAACTGGCAAAAAGACCTGAGGGGTGATCACGTCTACTTCAAAAAAAAAAAATTAAGTTCGCTGGGTTTAATTATTAGGCCCATCCACTGCTTTGGCCTTGCCCAGCCTGCCCCCCCGCTGGAGCCTGCCCCCCTGCCATCAGCACTGCCCACACCCCGTCCCACCCAAAAGCCGAGGGCAGCTTTTGCCCCGGAAGAGGTGGCACGTTGTCTTTGCGGTTTCGGACGCGGGAACCCTGCGGGCAAGAGGAACCGATCTGCCCCGGGTCTGGATCCCAGCTGGGAAACCGCGGCACCTTTGATTATTGGCGGAGGGTCTCCAGAGGAACATGATCACCAGCAGGATGATGGAAAAGAGGAACCTCCAGAAGGCATCATCGATCCAGAGTTCCCGCCAGTCCTGAAAATGGAAGAGGAGGAGGAAGGGTCAGCACAAGAAGGCGTGCATTTTTTTCTAACACCCCACCTTCAAAAAACTCGGAGAAAGAAAACGTTGATTATCCTAGGGTCAACTTCTAATTTTTTTCTTTATGGGTTAAAAAAAAAAAGAGTCAGCCCGCTTACTCACGGATTGGCATGTAGCAAGACGGAAAGTCTTTGTGGTCCAGACGATAAAGATCAGGGACGCTGCAAAAGGAACCAGAAGGCACGTGCTGTGAATAATGGCAAAAGGACGGGAAGCCAACCGAATGGCACGTGAAACATTTTCTGGGGGCCACAGCTGGATCTCTCCGAAATTAAAGATTTAACTGAGGAATTTAATATCCTGCTCCTGGTATATCTGATGAATGGCTGGATGGGGTCTGGTGATATCCAGGAGTCAAATAAAAATCTGAGCAGATATAATACAGCAGGCTCTGTGAAAACCTTGGTTGAGGCCCAGATTGCTTCCAGACGCAGCCACCAAATTCTAATTTTAAGCCTAATGGAAGCTGAGAATCCTTAAAGACCCACGGCATTAATCTGATCAACGTTCGCTGCTGAATTTAACTAGAAATGAAGTAAAATCCAATGATCATCTTCTGACCAAGCCCCCCTTGTCTTAGCTCCACCTGCTCTTTGCAATGTAACCCCCCCTTTAAAGGCGAGCCCTACCCCCACGTGAGAAGCTGCCCCCCACCTGGGCACCAGGAAGGCAGTGCTGCCCCCCGCCCCCCCTGCAGAGCAGCCCCAAGGGCCCGTCTCACCTATGACAGCGAAGATGAGGGTGTTGGTGAAATGGCGGTAGAGAGAGAGTTTCACCAGGTTTCTCCGCAGCTTCAGCAGCTTCCTGGTTTGCACCAGGCTGATGAGGGTGTGCCCCCGGTGAAGGGGAGAAGCGGTGTGGGGGGGGGAGTGGGGGGGGGTGGGGGGACAGGG